GGGCCCACAATACTCCATTCACAACCACAGGGCCCACAATACTCCATTCACAACCACAGGGCCCACAATACTCCATTCACAACCACAGGGCCCACAATACTCCATTCACAACCACAGGGCCCACAATACTCCATTCACAACCACAGGGCCCACAATACTCCATTCACAACCACAGGGCCCACAATACTCCATTCACAACCACAGGGCCCACAATACTCCATTCACAACCACAGGGCCCACAATACTCCATTCACAACCACAGGGCCCACAATACTCCATTCACAACCACAGGGCCCACAATACTCCATTCACAACCACAGGGCCCACAATACTCCATTCACAACCATCCAAAGTAAACTGAAGGATATAAATAGCTTTTAATTTTCATCCCTAATTCAGTGATATGATACTTTTTACTTATTTTAATTCCTTTGGTTTTAGGTTGTCAGACTTGCTAGTGAAACATTTAATTACACTGCATTTGATCGGGCAAAAGCAAGGTCAAAAAAGTTCGCTACAGAAAGATTCCCTGATACTCTAGGAAAACATGTAAAAGCAGGGCTTCCTCCAAAGGTATTTGATTGAATGATTATATAAATTTAATATGGTAAATCACTTAATGGTTGGTTATTTCTAATTAAATTTGATAATGTTTATAGGAAAACAAATTATGAGGAACATACTTATCTTTATGACCATATTGTGGTCCAAACTTCATTTTACATGACTGTATATTTAGATCAATAATATTTCAGAGGAGGTTGAGTTTCATTTTCTCTCATGCATGACTATCATTTGCAACTCCTGTGGAACAGACAGAAATGTAGACAATACAAATTTTGAATTATTTATGCCTCAAAACAGCGGGTCTTTAGTGTTTGTCTAGTCACAACAAGTTCAGATAATCAAACCTCCTTCCAATTAAATGGCCTGCCAAAGTGGCCTATTAACTCATGAAGTTGATTTGATCTCAAATTCAAAATTAGTTGTCTCTTCTTGCCCATTTACACAATTACTGTCCACCTTACTTGTTGTGAAAACAGTGCCAATGACATGTTAATGTTGTTTTGTCTTTTTCAGCTGGGTTCCTTTCAAACATTTGTAGATGGTTTTAAGGATGCAGAATTTCACCTGAGGAAGTTTGAAGTAGAATCTCTTCCAGCCATCACAAACAAAGATTTTCTGATACAGTTTCAAAAACTTGTTTGTCTTGATTATATTATTAGGAATACAGGTATGGAGCAATTTGAAATGGTAAAATGAAAATGTGTGTTATTTTTTTTTCCATTACATTGTTGCAATAATTAAGTATCTTACGTGGTTTAGTATTATTGCACTGTCAACCTCTTCAACTCCCAGGATCTCATTGTTACATGTCATTCTTCCATCTGGGTGCTATGCCTTTCCTTGTAAATACATTATGAGAATTTGGTTATGGATCAAGATAACTCTTACCTGATAAGTTTGAATATTCTCATTACCTTTTTGCTGGATGATGTATGGATTTATAGCAGGGCTCCCATGCGCGCTTCGCGCATGTGGGACATAGCCCCATAGCCATGGAACAAGGTCAACCTCTTTTCGTTTGGTTGTCATGTGACTGACCAAGCGTATGAAGGTACGTACGTATGTACGTATGTATGTGCCCTCAGATTGCATGGGTAGGGTAGGAGCAAAACGAAGGGAGGGGTGTCTCAGGCGAGTCTTGGCAAATGCACATCTTTTATGTTATTGTTAAATAAATATTACGAACTTGGGAGCTCTGCTTTTAGGCTTGGCTAAATCTATATATTAAGGAATATTAAAGTTTCATGTTAAATGTTAAATGTGTCTGGGTGTTAAAGGGTTGGTAGATGTAGCAATCCAGCACTGTGAACCTGGGCAGGTGATTGATGCAAAATCTTTCATTTCTTGATTCTCAATCTTAAACCCATAACTCCCATGAGTGACCAAGACAGAAATTCTCCGAACTATATCAATACAATATCAAACAGACAAGTGATGAGAATGAAGAAAAATATCAGTTAAGGGATTGTTATTAATTGATCCAATACCAAATTCTCCAAACCAATGTGATAAGAATTACAGGGCAGACTGTTAGGAGAATTACTAAATGATATTTTAGAAGTGAAAGGGTGACAGGTTGACCTCCTCTGTTTTTTGTTCTGTCAGATCGGGGGAATGACAACTGGCTTATAAAATATGAAAGAACTCCAGAAGTTGATCGACAAGTGGCAGGCGAAGAGGGGGTGAGTGTTATGAGTGTTATGACTCAACTTACTTTGGTTGATAAGTAGTTGATATTGGAACAACAGCTTTTGAGTAGGGTTGTGTGAACCCTGCCTTCTTCAGTGCTAAGTTAAAAATGAAAAATTTTCTTTTTCTTCGCAGGGTGACTGGGATTATGTTGATCCTCCAAAGATATTCGTAGCTGCAATAGACAATGGACTGGCATTTCCTTTTAAGCATCCAGATTCTTGGAGAGCTTGTAAGTTGATTTGAGAAGCTTGCTCAATGCTTATTACATGAACATGTCTCCATTCCCAACATTTACTCTGAGGAAGGGCTAATGCTCAAAACGTCGCCTTAAAAACTCTTTGTGGTGGCTAGTTATCAACATTATCAACTTATGTATGAAAGCGATCCTTGCGGTAAATATATCTTATTAGACGTTTTGTTGTGTAGTATCGCTGAGTATTTTTACGAGTTGTGCCGTAGGGCTTGTCAAAATACGGCACAACTCGTAAAAATTGTATTTTTACAAATTGTATTTTTTAGTTGTTTAGAAGGACTGGGAACTAGTTTGACCATGGAGTCAGATGACCGCCATGTTGTTTTGTCTTACTGATGTAGCTTGTTATTTTCGTTAAATTAAATGAGTTGAATTTGTCAATTGTTTTGCTTCGAACCTGTAACTCGTTCAGAAGAGCAAGGGTTAAGACTGAATATTTCATTCAGAAATCACTGTCTAAGATTTCGTCTTAGATAAGCAAATTAAACTTATTTGTATTTTGACAAGCCCGTAGGGCGGGTGAAAAGACAAATAACGAGTAAAAATACTCAGCGATACTACACAACAAAACGTGTAAAAAGTTATTTATTATCCAACACGCCAAACTGTTGATTCTGTGCGTGCTAATTTCGCGGATATTTATTTACGAGGAGTGCGTGACGGAATAATGCGAAGCGGAACGGAATTGGCGCGTTGTCCTGTTGCTGTTTCTATTTTCTCCAATGAATAAAGAAATTTCCTAGTTGTCTAACTGTTTTCGGAAAGATTTCCGTATAACCCCATACCAATCAAAAACAAAGCCGTAGTCCCAAAGGAAATCTGTTGTTTTGCCTCTGCTTTCCTTTATCCAAAAACTGAATAGATGATAAAGTATGGGGTTATACGGAAATCTTGCCCTGTTTTTTGTCGCTCGATATATCTAATAAACTTGGATTTATATTTGTCAGCCATTCCGCCTCTTCGTCTTTAGAAATATGATTCAAATTGTACGCTATTTTTATTTTCGTGACTTCACTTGCGCGATGCGAGAAAACCTGTCCAACCTGTTCCCTGGAGTACAAATACCGCGTGATATTTGTACTCGTCTATGGCGTTATTTGTACTCTACGGAGTGTAGTTGGATAATAATGAACCCTACTTACGTAATAGTAGAAAATATGGCCTGGAAAAAATTCAGGCCCTTATGGAATTTGAAACTGTACTTTTCGCTACTACATAAGTAGGGTTCATTACTGCAAGGATCACTTTCATACATTTCATGAAACCGCAGTACACAATGATGGCCTTTTTGCTGTTGAGTCCTCTTCAGTGCGGCAGTCGAACATTGGAGTGTAGAATTCTAAGTTCTGAGTTTCGTTCTTCATTTCTCTGATCTTTTTCTAGCTTCTAATTTCTCTACACAATATTAACACTCCTTAATCACACGTTAAGGTCACAAGAATAAAGAAAATGAGCATGAACTAAAGAAGCTCTTGATTGTTAAACTAATTCTCCTAGTTAGCTCTTACTATAAGCAGATGTACGATGTATAGACAACAGTATGGAGAAAATGCTGAGGTTAGATTGTCAGGGGTTGTTTAGAAGGACTGGGAACTAGTTTGACCATGAGGTCAGATCACCGCCATGTTGTTTTGTCTTACTGATGTAGCTTGTTATTTTCGTTAAATTAAATGAGTTAAATTTGTAAAGAATTGTTTTGCTTCGAACCTGGAACTCGTTCAGAAGAACAAGGGTTAAGACTGAATATTTCATTCAGAAATCAGTCTAAGGTGTCGTCTTAGATAAGCAAATTAAAGTGACTCTAGATACCATAGGTACGGTAGGTGTAGCCTTTTTTTAAAAAATAACCATCGTCACTGTTCAGTAGATACTTTTTAAAAAAAAAGTATTGTCTTGTTGTAGAACCTAAGTCAATTTGGTTCTTTTCCTTCTTGCAGATCCATTTTACTGGGCGTGGTTAACACAAGCAAAGGAGCCGTTTATGGATGAGATTTCTGACTTTGTTTTACCTCAGATAGCAGATATGAACTTTGTTCAAGACCTCACTGAGGACTTGTACCTTCTTTTTCGGGTTTGTGTTGTTTGCTTTTTTTTTTAGCCTTTCTCACCATGAACTATCTTAGTTTCTAGCAGTTTGACTGGAGTGCAGTTGTGGGTTTCACTGTGGGAAAGTCGTCAATGCATCCATCTCTGTAGGACATGCAAAAAAAACTATGCTGTGAAGGTTCTACAAAATATTAATTTCGTTTAGGTCGGGAAAAAAAAAAAGCAAAAGCAACAAAGGAGATGATAAACCATAAACCAAGAAGAAACAAAGTTGGCTGAGAATGGAGACGAAAAAAAAAACGGATTGTAAATTGTTAATGGGAACGTTCTGTGAGAGGAACTCAGAAATGCAAGTAATTACTGATTTTTTTTTTTTTTTCATTTTAGGAGGACAAAGGCTTCGATAAATCACTCTTTGAAAGACAGATGTCCGTTTTAAGAGGACAGGTACACAGAAAACTTGTTAGTTCATTTATGATAAGGGACTGGTCATTATTATCTCTGGTGGAGTGGGACAGGGGGGAGTTCCGATCTGAACCCCTTTAAAGTTTTTCAATATTTTTATAATTTCATTTTCCCTCCCCCCCCCCCTCCTTCACTGGCAGGTGATTAGCAGTCAGTTTTCTATTTTTCCCTTTTATACTCTGTTGCTGTGATGGCTGTTCCCCCTGGAAACTACGTGTTCGCCCCAAAATAATCCTCCCCACCCCACCCCACCCCACCCCTCGGCGATAAATAATGACTGGTCCAAGCTGTTTCTCATTTACTTTAAAGTTTTTTCTAGAGAGAAACCAACTAAATAGACACTTCTTTTATTTGTCAGATCTTGAACTTAACTCAGGCACTGCGGGACAAGAAATCCCCTCTGCAACTTGTGCAAATGCCCGTAGTCACTGTAGAAAGAAAGAAAATTGAGTCTGGAGACCGACTGAGAAGCCATAGTCACGCCTTCACTCAAAGCTTTCAACACAGACCACCGTTTTTCTCATGGTGCTAACCAAAGAAGTGTCACGTAACGAACTTTGTTGTTTGTGATTTTCTCTGCTGATTCAAACGGATGAAAGGTGCGCTCTCTGAGATATATGGGATACTGTCATCAGTCGAACAATGGCGGGGAATTTGACTTCTAGTAAGTCTTACTGGTCAGCCATAACCTGGTTTGCTATTGGTTATCTGTGACTGACAATTTTATGTGCAACCTCGCTCTCGTGGAGTCTGGTAATGGAGAACTTTGCGCGCATGTTCGGAAGAAGATCGAAAAAGATTCAAAGCTACGAAAATGGTCTGACAGCGTTGAATAATGTAGTGAGGTTTATTTTTCTAAAAGATGCAGGATGATTTTACAGTGGTTTCAACAGAGATTTTACAGGGGTTCCAACAGAGATAAATTACCATTATGTCAAACGAAAGTTCAGCTAAAATGAAACTTCTTTGAAACTATACAAAGGTTGTAGTTCATATTTTGTAACTGATAACAGCTTCATTAATCAGAAGTGCGCGACACTACCTTGCACTACTGAAGTGGTACATTCTTAAAGTAAAATTATGTGCAGAGCGTTTAATTATGTATATGGAAATTCAAATTATTATTTTAATGAATAGGAATTGTCGTGAATAGTGCGTTCCCTCTTTGGTTAAGAACACACTGATCATTGTGCAGGGACTATGAAAATTAATAGGTTAATCATTGAAAACCACGTTGCCTCAATCGGGCAATCTGGTGATGTATGGGGAGAAAGCACTGAATCGGACTGTCTAGAAATACGTCATTTTATAGATAAGTTAAATAAATGGATATTTGCACTGCTTGGTGCTTTGCTCAGCATTAACTTCCCTGCTTGAGTCGCTCTTAATTTTATTAAAATTAAAGGTGAAGTCCATCATTATTATCGCAATTATATTTTATAATTTTTTAAGGATGAGAATATCTAGAGCTTAAACTGCTTCAAAGGCCTGACATCACGAGCACCGAGATGGCTATTCCCACGATCACCAAACATTGTGTAACATAGGGGCAGTGGTGCACTGTCTCAAATTTGCAAGCAGAATTAAGCATCGAACAACAGAGCTTTCGTTGTTGGTAGCTCCATAGGAATTTTTCCGAAGGTAGCTGTACTGGAAGAGCAAGAAGCGTTAGCTGCAGTGGGGGAGTGGATTGCGTAAATTTACACGTAATTTTTTAAACGAGATAACAACATCTCATTTACTCGTAATCCGCAAAGTTGTGCTATTCAGTTTGGTACTGGACATTGACGGCTCTTTTACCCCGGTCGCCTTTAGCCAAATGAGCAATTTTCCTGAACGCGAAATCCACAAACTCAAAAAGAGTGAGGCAACTCATTCCCAAGAACAGACCAAAAGTCCCTCCTAAGTTTCCTACAAAGCAAAGGCAAAACTAATTATTATGTTCACAAGATTAGCGAGGGCTCTGGTCGGATCCTCGGAACCATGCATAGCCTGTGCTTTCGTGGGCGTAAGGAAAAAATACGAAAAACAAAACAAAAATTAAAACAACAAGTGGTAGAGTTGTGAGTCTCCATCGGGTAAAAGAGAATTCGAGTCGATTCAGAATCTCCAACATCTCGTATGTTATTTAAACAGACGTATGGTATATATAGAAAAATTTATACCAAAAAGATGCTACGGACAAAAAACGTAAAACTAACCGATTAGAGCCCAAGTCTCATAGAGTGGAGTCTGTGTAATAATGTCGACACTTAGGTCTTCAAAATAGATATCCAATGAAATTATGTTGTCACTGTGGGAAAGGAAAAGATTGAGATGTCGTCAAATGTGAATCACAGAACGTCACTTTACCTTGAAGTCTACTCAGCAACAACAAGACAATCCTAGCAGTGTCAACTGGGACACTTGAGAGTGCCCACAAACCAAGAGACGCAGTTTTGGAAAGCTACGAGACTCCACAACATCGAAATGCAACAATCGCAGCGAAGTGGAAAGAATCGTTAGGCTATGCGTGACTGGTAGCATGACCTAAAAAAAGACTGGCACTGAGTACTTGAAAGGTCGCGCGGTAACTCAAATTGTAAATGATAATATTTCATTAATTACTGTAATTCACCACGATGAGTTAATAACACAACCTCAGGGTTACGGAATAGAACTAAAACACGTACTCAATGTATTTTTCCCTTTCAGCTTTCGTCATATTCAACAGAGGCTCGTAAATCGATCGATCGACTGATGATTTCTCAGTTCCATTTAGGAAGGACATGAGATGTTGAATTAGAGCTCCCCTCTGCAGTCCACTGTATGAGATTGAAGTCTTGTACTCGATTTGATTACAGGGCTCAGGGCATTCCTTCTCGCATGTCTTCCTTTCATCTGAGTTGCCAAACTCCTCTGTAAGAAGACATAAGTTTACATTAGAGCTATAGAGTACCATCCTCTACGTCCTTTTATCTCGCTCTGATCATGGGAAAACGAGATAATGAGGGAGTGGAACTGTAGTCCAAGGGAGAAAAAAAAAAAATATATATATATATATATCCAAGCATCAATGAATAATACTTAAGCCCCTGCGCGTGCATCATACTCAGGTTCAAGGTGGTGTTTACGGCAAGAAGGGAATAATTAATCCTCCTATCCAGTGAAACGGCGTTGATGGTGTTGTGTTCACAACTGTCTCTATATTTGTATGCAGCTATCCTAAACGGCTCATACCTAAGGCAACAGAATGCCATATCGTAGTCATTTATGTGCCAAGTAAGATGTGGTTGAATGGATGTGACTCATCTTGGATCCTTAACTTGGTTGTAGATTATGTTTAGTCCTGTTAAGAATGGATTGACTTACCAAGAGACTTGTAAACACAAGTAGCTTCTTCAATCGGCGCACAGAAGGGAACTCCGGGATCGGCTGAAAAGAATCATAACAGTGACAGCGTAAGAGTTATACTCGAAGCAAGCGTCTGACCTTTCAAAAATTCGTTTCAACGCACTATATTTCCTTACTAGACTCTAATTCGTAAGCAAATGAATTTTCGTTTGCGTTCAGATGCAGCGAAACAGTTAGAAGTTAAGGCCGGTACACTCGAGGGGTTAAAAACTGTATCTGTTTTTATACTTTGAAGTATATATTAGTAGATTGCTTAAGAGACGAAGCAAGCACGAAGAAGCCGAGCAAACGAATGAATACTGCTTTGATATAACTAAAATTAATCAGAAGAGGAATTGTTTCTAGATTTTGTTCCTACTGATATTAGATGGTGTTACATCGTGGGGCCTTTTGTTGGGTGTCAACTCTTTTTCCGAGGATACACGGAATTGTTCGTGCTTATGAAGTAGCCCTGCCCTAGAAGCTGGCTCTAAGTACGAAAAATATTTTGATACCAACCTTTGAATTTTGTTGGTGTACAGTTGCAAGTTTTGATAGTGTACTTATTGCGACATTTTATAAGACAGGCCTGTTTGCTGTAAGCAATCTGAGAGGCTCCGTTGAACGCTTCAAGGGTCCCTTCTTTACACTTGGTGCTGTACGGGTGTGGCAGGTTTGTAATCTGCCAAGAAATTCATTATAACGTTAACTCGTGTCTTCTCTTAAAATTACATAGATCAACAAAAGACCATATTCCGGGATTTTCCTTCTAGATGAATGACTGATTTATCACAACTGACTGACAAACTGACTGACTGAGTGACTGGCTAGCCTGCTGGGTGGCCCGACTGAATGACTTTTTTACGGAAAGGTTATCGATCTGGCTGACTGGCCAGTTTAACCAATAAGGTAGAGACCAACAGCACAGTTGGTTCCTATTTTGCTATCTAGATGCAACAGAAGCTCGCTCACCCTCAAAAACACTCTAACTTGATAATATCAAGGATATTGAAAAAGACAATTTGGGGTTTTTAAATTTCTTAGGAAAAGGCGACAAAATATTCTGAATGGGTATATAATTTTTTTTGAAATATTTCCAGCACTTTGCGCTGATCTTAAAAAAAAACCTCAACACGTCGCGCGAATCTAAACATAGAATACATTAAATCTTGTTATTGAAAACTTGTCATACAGAACAGATTGAAAACAACTTCGACGGAAAATTTTAGCTATGTCCATAATGTTGGCTTAGCAATTTGGGGTTTTTGAAATTTGTTAGGAAAATGCAGTAAAATATTTTGGTTGGGTGAACAGTTTTTTTTTCAATATTTCCAGCGCTTACGTTTCTCCTTCGTATAGCACACGTAGTGGACATCCCTGGTGGAACAACAAATCCAAACTCCTCCACAATGGGATAGCTGTTTTGGTCGTGAATAAGAATAACAATCCCAACAGAAGACCACACTAAATTTGGTAGATAGCTCTCACGTTCGATGTTAAGTCTTAGCTTAAAACCGCTTTGTTTGCCGGCAAATAAAGCACTTTGTGATAGCTTGCCATTTTTTGCTGCATTGAACGTGTAGCATTTTGCATAAAGTGGATTGAGGAAGCTGGTAAAATTGTTCGCGTCGCATTTCTTTCCATTGATGGAGCAGGAATAAAAGAGGTCACCATTTGGCAGAAGCATGTCTTCCATTTGATGACTAAATTCCAATACAAAAGGGTTGGTTTCGTTTGCCAGTTTTGGACGATAAAGAAGCCATGGGTTACGTTCTCTAAAGTCTTTCCCTAAAACATCATCTGATCTGGTCGCCATGAGAGCTATATCTGCAATATGTCTTTCGATTTGGCTTTCATTGAAATAACTTTTTTCAATTTGCCTGAATAATCGCGTGTTGAAGGTATTGAAATTGCACAAGGTTACCGCAGGGAAGGGAAGCTGTCTGTCATCTTTACCAAAGTTCGTTGTCATTTTAGTGTTGAAAGGATAAAGGGAAAACTGCCAAAGGCAACTGTAGGTTTGATAAATGCAGAAACCAAAGCATGCGATTATCATTCCCAGCCAAACCAGTCTTCTGAAAAAGCTCTCGGAGAACAAAAATCTGGCTCCGTGAAGAGTGGTAACATGAGCGAACGATCTCAGTCCTTCGAAATTACCGTCACTTGTGTCCGGCCCATCTGTTTGGAGGTTTTTGATCCGTATTTCGCTTTCGTGCTGGTTGGTTTCTATACCAGTCCTGATCTCATTTCTCTGGTTTGTTACAAACATTCCCCTTGAGCATAGTTAATAAACCTGCTTGAGTGTAAATTTAGTCTAAGAGACGAGAGCTCGATGGAGACGAGAAATAAAAGCGACGTGGGAGGTTTTTAAAGTTTAGTCCGATTATGAAGCAGATCGTAAGAAGTCACCAAGCAGCAAGTATTAAAATTATACACACCACATTAAAAATGCATCAGTCAAATTGAACAAAGAAAGAATGAGACCTGTATGGACCCTTCTTAATTAGGAATGAGTTCTTGTGTAGCTCACCACATCTTGCTTCTTTTTTCCTCGCGATCTTCATATATTTGAATGTTTTGAACTGAATTTGACCAATCTATCTAGTCGACAACAGTTTATATATTTTTATTCTTTCTCGTTGTTAGCTTTAAAATTTCAATATTAAAAAAATTAATTAAAGAACAAGAACGTGATGATAATAAAAACAGTTAAAGTCGCAAGCTGGACAGAGCTAATACCACTTCATAAGTATTTCATTTGGAAAAAATAATTCTTGGTAAATAATGGTTCTTGCATAAAAAATATAACATTCTCATCTCGCCTCATATGATATAGCACTGAAGATGTTTTTCTTCCGTTACTTTCCTAAAATTATACTTCATTTGAAATGCATTTTCGATTGGGAACAACGTCATTACGAGACACGTGCATCAGTTCACATAATAAATGCATAATATACTACAACTTTTACAATGTGACGGTAAACATTTCCTTTGTTGCGCTCATAATTCTTTAATGCGTTTTGAAGTCACCTACTGAAAGATAAGATAAAACATCAAAAAATAATTTGACAACAGTCATGCCACTGGAAATTTAACATTTTCCTGCTCATCTCATAAAATATGTTGATATCAAGATTGTGAGTTCCTGTTTGACACTGGACATGACAAAATATAACGATAGGAAGCAATAGAAGGGCTTGGAATCTTTGTTTTGGAAAACAATTAATTTTGGGGAACTGTTCCATAATGAATTACGCTGATCTTAAAAAAAAAAGACCTTCAAGGGTCGTATGAATCTAAACACTGTATACATTTAGTCTTATTATTGAAAAATATGTCATACAGAATAAATTGAAATAAGCTAAGACGGAAAATTTTAGTTTGACAAAAAATATAACGAAAAGAGGAAAACGGCATGGATCCACAACAGTTTGGTCGCGAAGAAGTGTGAGGAAAAAATGCACAATAATTCATTCCAGAACTTAACGTAACTCTATCGGCCAGTGAGTTTAAACATGGAATACATTTTTTCTTTTTGTTACAGTGTTTGTTAGCATAAGGCTTTTTGAGATGTACTTTTCTTGATATCTCTAAACTTGAGAAAGCAGTGCTTGTTGGTAGCTACAGATTGCAACTGCTGTCGAAAAAAATGAAAGTTTTCGATTGATGTGAAACTTTTGCAAAGATTGATTAAGCCTTTCCAGCGTGTGAAAATGGCTGACAGGAAGAATTTGCTGGTGAAAAATTAAAAAGCTTGTCCACGGTGACTGAGTTCGACTTAGGTTTTTCAGATAAATCATTAACTAACACGGCAATATATTTCATCAGCCATCGACAGATTCTTTAAAATATCAAGTAGTACGTTGTTCTCTTGATATGGCAACGGTCGTCGTTCTAAAAACTGATGGATAATCAGAAAGAAACCTAGCACCATCAAGAAGTGATTGACTAACTGACTGACTCACTGACTGACCGACAGACAGTACGACTAACTGACGGACTCACTGACTGACCGACAGTACGACTAACTGACTGACTCACCGACTGACTCACTGACTGACCGACTGTACGACTAACTGACTGACTGACTAGCCAGCCTGCCAGGTGGCCCCTCGACTGACTATCCAGCTGAAAGATTCTTGATCTGGCTGACTATCCTGGCTGGCCAGTGTGATGAAAAAGGACTAGAACAGATGTAAAGTTGGTTTCTCTTTGACTATCTGAGTCCATCATGACCCAAGCTTACTCACACTTACACTCACTGTATAACGCTATTATATCCATAATCTTGACTAAGGCAATTCGGGGTTTTTGAAGTTTGTTAGCAAAAGGCTGGAAAATATTATGGCTGAGTAAAAAGTTTTTTTTTTTAAATATTTCGAGCACTTACGTTTCTCCTACGTATAGCACACGTAGTAGACATCCCTGGTGGAACAGTAATTCCAAACTCCTCAATAATGGGAAAGCTGTTTTGGTCGTGGATAAGAATTATGATTCCAACAGAAGGCCACAACAAATTTGGTAGATACCTCTCACGTTCGATGTTAAGTCGTAGCTTCAAACCGCTTTGCTGGCCGGCAAATGAAGCATTTAACACTGGCCTGTCACTTTTTGCTGCATTGAATGTGTAGCATTTCTTAAAAAGTTGATTAAGGAAGCTTGTGAAGTTGTTTACGTCGCATTTCTTTCCATTGATGGAACAAGGATGAAGCTGGTGGCCCTTTGGTAAAAGCATGTCTTCAATCTGATGACTAAATTTCATTGCATGAGGGTTGGTTTAGCTTGCCGTTTTTGGACGATAAAAAAGCCCGTCGTGGCGTTTTTCAAAGTCTCCCTTCGAAATATCATCTGATCTCGTCGTCAGGAGAGATATATCTTGAATTTGTCTTTCGATCTCACCTTCACTAGAATTTACTCCTACATATCGTCTGTATCTTCGAGTATTAAAAGGATTGAGATTGCACAAGGTTACAGCCGGGAAGGGAAGCTGACTGCCATCTGTACGAAAGTTGGTTGTCATTTTCGTGTTGAAAGGATAAAGGGAATACTGCTTTAAACAAATGTTGACTTGATGAGCGCAGAAGCTGAAACACGCTAGTATCATCCCCAACCAAACCAGTCTTCTGAAAAAGCTGTCAGAGAACAAAAATCTGGCTCCGTGGAGAGTGGTATCCTGGGCGAACGATCTCAGTCCTTCACAATTGCCATTATTTGTGTCTGGCCCATCAATCTTGGGATTTTTTGTTCGTGCTTCACTTTCGTGCAGGGTGGCTTCCCCTCTCAGAATAATCTCATTTCTTTGGTTTGTTACTGGCATTCTTCTTCAGAATAATTTATAAATCTGCTTGGATGTAAATTTAGTCTGAGAGACTTACAATTGGCAGAAATCTTTGACATTCAGTTTTGGACAGTGTTTCCTTTTAGTGACATTAGTATCGAAATTGCGCATGATGGATTAAATCGACGGTTACGGAGGTTATTTTAGCGCGACTAGGGAACAAATTTCATACAGTCTTGAGATTTGTATTACTTATCCACCAAGTCATAAATATAATATGCAGGCCTTATGAAAATTTCATTTTCAAATTGAACAAACAATTAACGAAACCTTTAATGACTTTTCTTAAAAGGAAATGAGTTCTTTTTGCATCTCCATTTGTTTGCATAAAAGTTAGTGCTTTCGACAAAAAATGATTTAAAAAAATTATTTTTCAACATGTCTAGGGTGGTGTTCTACTCTGCTGCAGGTTTTATTCATTGAAGTTTCTTCTTTCTTTCTCCTTCTCTCTCTGCGTTTGAATGTTTTCGCTTGATTTTGACCAACCTAATTCAAATGACTCGAATCCAAATTTATATCTTTCATTTTCAGTGTTAGCCTTGACATCTAAAAGTTATGGAGTTAATTAAAGAACAGGAACTCGATAGATCAGTCCATCAGCTGAACAGAGCTAGTGTCTTTCCATAAGAACCCTAAGCTGATACCATTAAAAATTTTAAAAAATTGGTTTTTTGGCATAATTTTTATAGTGATTCTCGCATGAACGACATTAAATTCTCACCTCTCATCTGTTGCAGCACTAAAGGATTTTTTTTCACCTGCTGATTTTCTAAACTTAAACTTTGCTTAAAAAGCATTGTGATTTAGAAATCACTACTAGAGACATGGAACAGTTCACACAGCTAATGCTCAAAATTTTCAACATTGTAACATACGTGTTAACATATCCTTTGTTGCACTCATATTTCTTTAAAGCCTTCTGGAGCCAGCTACTAAAAAATAATGTAAATCATAACAAAATTTTTTGACAATAGTCATTTCATGGAGTTTGAAGGTGGATGTTTTCCTTTTTTTTGCAGACGGTATTTTGACTTCGAGATATAACAATTCCTGTACGACTCTGTGCGTAGTGAGATTTGATGGACAGAAAAATACGAGGGTTTAAAAGCTTTGCCGTAGGAAACAATTCGGGGAAAACTCCATAACGAATTATGCTGATCTTAAAAAAAAAAAAGAAAGAAAAAAACTACCACGTCTCTTAAAATTAAATATAGAATCCTACTGATCAACAGTATGTCACACAGAATAGATAAATAATGACTGACACGGAAATATATTTGGAAGGGAAAAAAAACTACAATGGCTCATAGCCTTAATTTGCCAGAACCTCTATTTCCGGCCGTGACTGTATGTAAACTTATTACATTCAACAAACGAAAACTTATAAAATCGCTCTCGGGTGTTTCTAGCCAAGCGACGATCGACCACGCAATTCAGGATATGCATTTAATGATTAGAAGATCGAAAGAAATGTTTACCAAATAATTCTAATAGCGCAATCCAGAGTACTTTTATCGTTTTCAAACTGTCAGCGATACAGACACAGTCAATTGGATAGTTGGTTATAGTTTGAAGGATGTGCCATTACCAACCGGCCGAGAATACAGTTCCTGCTCAATAATGGCTTCTCGTGCAATGCATATTACTCTACCAGCTCAGTGAGTGCCTATTTTGGGTTGAAATGTCATACCTTCAAT